TATATATAAAAAATATAAAACCTGGTAAACCAAGAGTATTTGAATCCTGAACAAAACTGCTCCCCACTCAAAAAGTCTTGTGCCTGTTGAAGGAAGACCTGTGAGACAAAGAATTAAGAGCCCTGTCATGAGAAAGTGGAAAAGAAAAGGGAACCTTAGGGATACGTTCCTCTGAAGTCAGGTTGCGAGAGACCAAGTTTTAATCTGTATTCTGTGTGCATTGCTAATTCTCTCCATTGTATCTGATGCTACTTCTGGCTGTGTTATGATCCATTTTCCTAGCAGAGTTTGTACACCTTACAGCCCCTAATTTAGTTTATATATAAAGCTGGTGAATTCAACAGAATTCATTTTTAAGACATTATAGACCCTCTATCTAAGATCCTGCTGGACCTCTCAAAATGTAAGTGAAGTTTGATTCCACTCAGTTCATTTCATCATGTTAAGAAATGACAGTGTGACTTTATTTACCCCTGGAGATGAGGACATCGTCTGCGTAGGCTTTAAATATTGTATGTTCTAGCTATAAATATGGTCCAGGTATCAACAGAAATACTCTAATTTAGAAAGGTTTTCCAGTATATCATTTTCTCAAATTCTTAACCTGTTTCAGTATAAATAGCTATACTTGTTCTTGATGCATGTAGCTGAGGATAGAAACAGGAAAATCTGTAACATGTACTTTCTTATGCACTGTTTATAGAAAAAGGGAGAGACTCATGTCTTGTTGATTGTAGGTATTATGGAATTTAGGCAATTTTACTCATGTCTTTGAAGTAAAGGCATAAAGTTTTATTTATTTTTCTTTGTTTTGTTTTTTAACAAAATTCAGTTAAATAGAAAAGAAAGTTCAAATTTGAAAGCTGGAACATTCATACATTTAAAAAGTTATAAATATAATACTGTTCTTGAATCTTTTATTCTGTTTTATTTTGGATCTGTTATGACAGTTTCTAATTTCATGATCATGTGCTGTTTTCAACAAAGATTTCTACCACATAAAAATTGTTTGATAAATGATGTGAAAATGACGTAAAAATGATGTAAAAATGTGTAAAAGCTCAAGTCAAGGTCAATCAAAAGCATTTTGGGGTTTAGGCCAAAGCTGTCAAATTTTGAATACCATACCAAACAAAATCAGGCACAACAGTCAAAATGCTTTGTTTCAATATTTTCTGAAAAAGAACAGTGTGATTTTTTTTCCATTTGCTCCAACAGTTCATTTCAAAAATTGTTTCAGTTTTAAAAAGAAATTTACTTAAAGTTCAGTGAAATGGAACATGCTGGCTAAGAAGGAGGAAAAAACCTTTCTGTTTAAATCTTTCCAATCAAACATCAGTTATTTTAGGTTGGCAAGAAGAATTCTAGATGCTTTGGGGGACTGGGGGTTGGGGGGTATAAACCACGCAGCTTATGAAATCTTCTATTTATATACATGTGTTCAGGCTGGTACATTTGGTTCAATGTCCAAACTGTGAAATGAGGCAATGATATGGGATGAGCAAAACAGAAATTCATAATATTCATGTATTAGTTACTGCCTGATGTGGATGCTTGATAGTATATAATATAAAGCACAGAGTTTGAACCATTAAGCTTCAGAAATACAAATTGCTCTGGCGTTGAGTGGCTGCGTCTAAGCCATAAATAAAGGAGTCAACACGCAGGAAGGCTACAAAATCCTCATGCATAGGAGGAAGCATCTGGTGTGTGCGGATGTCTGTACCTTAGTACTTTTTCTGACTTTGAGTGTAAATATTTTGTATGAAATATTATCATAGAGTCATAGAATGGTTTGGGTTGGAAGGGACCTGTAAAGGTCATCCAGTCCAACCCCCCTGCAGTCAGCAGGGACATCTTCAACTAGATCAGGCTGCTCAGAGCCCCATCCAACCTGACCTTGAATGTTTCCAGAGATGGGGCATCTACCACCTCTCTGGGTAACCTGTTCCTGTGTTTTACCACCTTCATTGTAAAAAATTTCTTCCTTATATCTAGTCTGAAATTCTGATATTCACAGTTGTGATACCGCAAAAATATTTGCAAAGAACTTCACATGCAGAGTCCAGTAGCATCGTGTCATTCTGTGGCCAAGGATCATTTCACCAGTCATAAACACCTGACTAATATCTACATTTTAAGTGCCTTATGGAGAAATTGTCTTAAATAAGTGATCATATATGCCAGATGGTCAGTGAAGAGAGATACACACTTCCATGTGCATGTGATCTCCCTCTGGAAAGCTTTCCAGGCCAAATAGGAAACATTGGCATTAGACCCTTAAAAAATCAGGAAAAAGTTAAGTATATACTTTGATAGCAGAGGGTTGTACCCTCAACTTTTGTTTTTATCTTTCTCACAAGGGTTGATGAGGCTGACTAATTGTAGCAGTCATTTCATGGCCCTACATCATTTCGGTTTTGACAACAGAAATTATGAATATAGAAGCAGCATGTGGCAGAACAGGCGCATGCTTAGAGCTGTCCTTATCTGTCTCAGAGCAAGGTTATATCTACACAATGTTGTATACACAAATCTGAACTCAGTTCAAGGTATCTACTCTAATGACTAGACACACTGCAAAACTGCTCAGTTGGGTAAATACTAAGCTGTGGTCAGTCTAATATCGAGCTCTGCAGTATCACACTTTCTTTAAAGCAAGTGCAGGGCTAATTCAGATATAATTGTACTGAACTAGTCAAACACAGCAAAAACAGAGGTGATTATCCCCCTGTATTCAGCGTTGGTGTGGCCTCACCTTGAGCACTGTGTGCAGTGCTGGGGCCCACCATTTAAGAAGGCCGTGGAAGTCCTTGAATGTATCCAGAAGAGGGCAACAAAGCTGGTGAGAGGGCTGGAAGGCACGTCCTGTGAGGAGCGGCTGAGGACTCTGGGTTTGTCTAGTTTGGAGACAAGGATGCTGAGAGGCGACCTCATGGCTCTCTGCAGCTTCCTGAGGAGGGGAAGTGGAGAGGGAGGTCCTGGGCTCTTCTCCCTGGGATCCAGTGATAGGGCGTGTGGGAGGTTCAGACGGGACATTAGGAAGCATTTCTTTACCAAGAGGCTGGTAAAACACTGGTGGAACAGGCTTTCTAGATAGGCAGTCAATGCCCCGAGCCTGTCAGTGTTTACGAAGCATTTGGACAATGCCCTTAATAACATGCTTTAACCTTTGATCAGCCCTGAAGTGGTCTGGTAGGCCTCTTCCAACTGAAATAGTCTATTCTTCTCTTCTCTTCTCTTCCACTACAGCTGTAGGGTTGGCAGATCCCCATACTGTGTGTCAAGCTGTGATACTAAGACTTCCACACTGCACAAAAGAGAGCTTGACCCATCTTTCAAATTGGTCTTCCAATATGAAAGTCATCTACATACTTACACATAAGAAGAATTTAAATCTTGCCTCACTGTACATAAGGAATTGGAAGAAAAGTTGATTATTCATTAAAAATGCTGAATTTCCTTTTAACAGCATGTTAGTCTGGCTTACGGAATTGTTTAATGTATCTCGTTCTATCCTCTGCCATTTTTCCTGACAGACCTTTTGCAGTGGCCACAAATCAGCAAGTGCAGATCACCTGAACTGGAGACATTTTCATGTTATTGGACTGATGGAAATTTTTATAACCTCACTGCTCCAGGAACAATACAACTATTGTACATGAAAAGGTAATATGGAAAGAGCAAAAGAAAGAGGAAAAGAAAGAGAAGTCATATTTTGCTATGCCTGTTAGCATGGTGCTGTTAGTTTTTTGCTATGATATGAGCCATACTGTTTTTAAGGGCATAAATCTGTATTTCAAGTGCGTATTTTTCAATGTCAAAATTTTATGTTAATTAATAAGTAATTTGCAGCAACAAGCATTACTTGGCAGATAATTAAGAACACATTCTTATTAAATTATGTCCAGGTTGCAGAATCCAACACTGAACACTGTATGGCTTGAGAAAGGAGTTTTTAATAAGGAACTTCAGTTTATTCCTTATCAACCTAACTTGCAACTCTGATATTTGTTATGTATTTGCATTGATGTGGAGTTTGGATACAAGCCCCTTTCAAATTTTTATTAAAGTTTCATAGATCTCCCATTGATCAGTTGCTAGGTTGAAGTGTGAATGCGCAGGTCCAGGTGAAAAGGCTGCTTTGAGATTGGGGATTACATTTCACTGAGCCATGTTCAATTCTGATTCACATTCCGTTTAAGCTCTTGTAATTTTCAGGTTGTTATGATGATTAGCCTCAAAGAAGGCATAGACATTACCAGTAATGGCTGTTAAGGAAAACAGGCCTTTTGTTCACATGAATAGGAGAATGTGAGTTTCTGTTCCATCTAATGTACTGGATTTCAACCTTTTTGATCTACAGACACTTTGTACTGGTGATGGTACGTTTGCTTAGCAAACTTAAGCCTAATGGCAAGGCTGGCTTGCTTTCTTACTCTTCTGAGACCTCTCAGAAATACAGGGATCCTAGTTAAAACCACTGTTTAAGTGTAAATGTTTAGCTGACAGTTGTGAGTGGCGTGTCCACAAACTTTAAAAATTAATTAAACTCTACAATAAAGCAGATCACATATTTCATCTTTGTGCTAGAAATTAGAATACTGCAATAATAGATGTGAATTGAGCATCCACAATGAAAATATTTCTGTTTCAATGTGCAAGCAACATTTACGACTCAGGGCTAAACTCTGTAATCTAACCCGCTCTCCTACTTAACACAAGCCATAGTATCTAATAGCATACACCTTTATCAAGTCCTGACTCTGGCAGAGCTAGAGCATTTCCTTTAAAAATGTGTCTGGTCTCATCAGCTAAGCACAAGACCAGTGCTTAGTGACAGAAATGCTTCTTAATTTATGCAGCATCTGCCTTTTTGCTTCTTAAGCACCCACTCCAGTACTGAAGGCTGCACTTGGCATAATTGATTTAGCTTAATCTTCCTTCTGTATAGCTTCAATAACTCATAGTAAGAAAAGGCATTTATGATATATTTTTAACAAACCAGGACTGTAATTTTTTGAAAGACCCCTGTTCAGTCTATATTTGGGCTGAGAGATTGCATCGAGATAAAGAACAGCAACAGCAGATCTATTCACTGTGAGATTTGTTTTTCTAAAGTGACTTCAGAAATACTGAATAAATGTCTGTCACTTTTCCCATAGATTATTTCTAAAAATCTGGTCATTCCCATTTTGCTTTAACTGAAGACTTTTTTGGTTTTGAACCAGCTGAGTAGTTTCAGCTTGGCCATATGAAAATGAGCCTACACAAGTAGCAGTGTTTGTCAGTCTGAGAGTTCATGCCACTCTTTATAACTCTGCTGTTTGTCTTTTTTAATAGATGAAATGAATGTGATATTTCCTGCTGCAATTCTTTTATTTACAAAGAATATTTATGAATTTTTGAACAAAGTCAGAATAGAAAAACGTAAGAGGTTTCTTGCTCGTAGTTCCAAGCCTGTGTTGTAGAAGTTCTGTATCCCAAGGAATTTAGCCCTTCCTCACTCACAGTGGTGTATTTCTCTTCCCTTTGTTCATCCTGCAGTCCTGGGTTGGTTTGTGCCAGGTCTCCTGCAGCATCCACCCTTGGGCACTTTCCCATGTGAGCAGATCAATGCTCCAGTGCCTACATCCCAATTCAGGTCCCCAGGAACACACACTCCCCTGTCCTTGGCTTTGCAGGTGGTGCAGTACTGATCCCCCATGAGGACTGGCTTTCAGTGTTTCAGACCCCATTATGTGATGGGCATCTCACTGCAATTTAACTTTGCCTGAACAGCAGTTGCTTAAATGCGTGTCAAATTTACCTAAGTTTGTGATTGCTGGTAGTCATTAGCACCTACCAGCATAGCAAGATGTGCTCTCTGACCGTTCTTTTGGAAGCAGCATCCAAAGGATAGAAACGCCAGTAACAGTACATGAGAACCTAAACTCATTTATGCAGGTTGCTTGGATAGTGGTTGGGTTTCACTGTAAATCACAATCAATATTGACATGTTTTTCTCACTTCCATAAAAGATATGATTTATCAATAATATGTCTTGTAACATCTATAATTTGTATTTTGTAAGATCTATAAATCTCTCTCTCATGTATATGACATTTTTGTTGTCATTCTAGGAATGATGAAGACTGGAAAGAATGCCCTGATTATATCACTGCAGGAGAAAATAGCTGTTATTTCAACACATCCTACACCTCTATTTGGATACCATATTGTGTTAAACTTGCCAATAAAGATGAAGTATTTGATGAAAAATGTTTCAGCGTTGATGAAATAGGTATGCTTCCATTATGCATTGTGCCTCTATATTTTTATATCACAATAGGCATGATGCTTTAAGCTTTTGTATTACTCATACTATATTTAATTTTTCCCTCTCAGAAAGGTTAGTTTCTTAAAAATATAATATATAGGAAGGGATTTGGGTTTGTAACATATGTAATGTGATCCACATCAGAAAATATTGCCCAGATTGGAAGAAAGCTAAAAGGATAAAAGCATATATGTGGTTTCTCTTTCTGAATACCGATGGTCTCTCAAATGTGTGCAGATGAGCTTGCCTTTGCCATCACTCTGAGCCCTTTCCAATGGATGCTTCATACCCTTGTTCAGTGTGGGCAAGGATGGTGTTAAAATCTTGATTCTGCAAAGTTCTGGAACCAAACAGTTTTCTGTTCCTGAATCAACACTAATCTGCAGAATCCAGATGTTTAGCATTTCTAAGCTAGAACTTACATTTATTACAATATGAATTGTGACTGTCTGGGACTTTGCAGATGTTATGGCTTGTTCAGAGCAGTGGTGTATGTATATGCAATTAATTTATTCCTGCAAGTGACTAGAATACCCACTGCTCTCTTCACCTGAGCAAAATTAGATTAATTTTTCAGATACTATAGTTTTTCAGTGTACTTCTATAGTAGTTACTAAACATTTAATTTATCTTTTTTTTATTTCTAGTAAGAACTCTAAATTTACATTTTGATGGAGAATTCTTTAGGTATCAGTGCTTTATAAGCTGCTATTGGGAAATGTAGTTTAATAGGAAATACATTCTTAGTCTTCTTTATTAGTCTCAGGTGAGATTTATGCAGACTGTGCCCCCCGCCAATGGCAGGGTGCCTTCTTGTTATCAAACTTGTAGTGACTTTGTCATTGACTCATAGGTTCAAAATTTAATTAGCAAATATGTGGTTAATATGCTTTTTTAGTCCTGAAACCATTTCACAGTGTGTAGTAAGAATGATCATTTCACTTTGAAAACTGGCTGTTTTATTCCAAATACTCTGTTTAAACAGTACTACCAGATCCCCCTGTCCACCTTAACTGGACTCTGCTAAATACTAGTCAGACTGGGATCCATGGGGATATTCAAGTAAGATGGGATCCACCACCAACAGCAGATGTTCAGAAGGGATGGATTACTCTGGAGTATGAATTGCAGTACAAAGAAGTTAATGAGACAAAATGGAAGGAGGTATGAACCAAATATTTATTATACAATAGTCATAGTACAGTGCAGGCTTGTTCTGTCCCTAACACTTTTGTACTACTATGAAAAGCAACAGGTTTGTAATTGCTAATTAGATGATACCTTAAGTCTTAAACAAATTACCTATATTCTTCTGAAGTTTTCTAGCAAACATTGTAACTATGGGTCAAGATAGTTGGCACACAGGATAATAATGACAAACCCTGAAATCCCTGTGTTAGATTAGAAGGTATCGCAATAGTCAGATAAAATATTTTTCTATTGTTTTCCTAAACCTCAGCTATTTGAAACAGTGCATGGTATTTTTAGTAGCTGGAACAGGAATATTTTGCTTGGAAAATGTCACCTTGCCAGTCCAGATTCTTCAGGATACATGTAAAGTTCTAATATTTATAATTATCATTTCAGTAGATTTAAAAAAAAAAAAAGCACACAATATTTGAGTTATAAATCCAAATTTGATACAATAAGCAAATAAAAATAGTGCAACATAGATAAGACATACAGATTTCATACCAGACAGCAGTGGGATATTTGTGAGTAATGGATAGTCCGTGAAAATATAAAATATGTATAACCCAAATCTTTGAAGTTTTCTTTTTGAAAATCACTTAACTTTTCCTGTAGTTAGTTTTCCTGTTACAGGGAAGAAATTGTACCCAGCTTACCTGAATGCATAGGCTAAGTGCCAATGTGTCATGGCATATTTGTATATGGAGAACTCTTCCTGAATACTAGTTCAATGCAATAAGAACATCATTTCACAGCAGAACCCTTCCTTTGCTTTCTTATTAACATGAACTGAGTTAACTGACAGAAGGAAAGCAGATAATGCTGTTGTAAATTTGTCTTAACCTACAAAAGGGAAATTTACCAACTGAAACAAAGTGGTTTGCTTGCCTTCATCTGTGAAAGACCTTGGACCCCTCCTCACCTCTGATCTTTCTCAATGCTAGTATTTTCTGTTTATCCAACTCCTTATTAGTAAGTCTACAGCCAAACAGGCCTATAATGTGTATAACTTTTTCCTAATACTTGTCTGAATTTCTCTCTATATACTGGTTTAAGCTATACTTACTGTACAGCCTGTATATTTTAAAGCCTACAAAATGAGTTAAGTTCAGGCAGTAAATCAATACTCCTTAAAGAACTGGAAAATCTGCAGAGTATTTATGGGATTTACAAAAGCAGGTGGCAATACAGATACTTCTTTAAAAATGCACATTTTTTATTTTTTATAAGCCTTTAGGTATCAATCTTATAAATACCTTAATAAAGCTTTGTTCTTGTTCCATACCATCAATAATTCCAGCATGCCTTGAGAATAGTTCTTCTCAGGAGGGCAAAGGTTTGAAGATCAGTGTTTCTTCTTTCAAAAAACAGATAAGAAATTGCTGAATACTATATTTGCCTCAAGAAAAATAGTACTATAGATTATGTTGTACTGCAGCTTTATATATTGTATGTTATTGTGCCTTTCAGCTTAAATACACAAACATGGCATAATTACCTCAGACACTATCACACCACAAAAGAGAAATTTCTGAACAAAACCTTGGCCAGGCAAATATACCATAATGCATTGTACATGTAACTGATACAAAAAAAGATTAAAAAATTAATTTACAGTACTTAAATAGTACTAAGTCTCCCCCTTACTGAGACGTGTTTGTAATTTTTTTAGATGTTTTGGGATGAACCAGTTTGATTTTTCATGTATAGCATTCATTTTTTTAATCTATTTACTAATTGAAAATACGTAACTTATGAATTGAAAGAGGGCTAAAACATTAATTGGTAAAGTCTTATAACAGTAACTTATAATGATAAGAGGATCAAAATTATTTTCTGAGAAGCTTCCTAAAAACAGTAGAATCCCCCCACTTTCATATAGTGGGTATTCATGAGACAGAGACAAATCTAATCTGGCTCACAGTTTGAAAAAATTTTATCATTATTAGTAGCTTCTTGCTGGGTATCTTTCTAAAATTCCACCCTCTTATCTTGAAGATAAGGTTCACTAGGCTAAAATTCTGTCCCCTCTTATGTCTATCCAAGTATACTAGTCTTGACTAGCAATAGCTATACACACCCTGTGAGGCTGCTGTGTTTTCTAAACAAGGTGTGAAAACACATCGTCTGAGCAATAATGAAGAACGATGACTTCATAGTGAAGTGTCTGTCTATGAAGTGCCTAAAAATGTATGTATGATAGGGAATCTTAAAAGTTTAATTTTCCTTTAGTTACTTATCCTATCTTAGATTGGCCTGATCTTTTGCCTCATTAAAAAACCCCAAAAGAACACAAACAAACCACCAACCAACCCAGGTCCAGATCCACCTCATATGGGTTGAAATTGGTGATCACAGCTCAGTCCCCGGTGAAGAATGCTGGACCAGGGAGGACTCTGCTGGCTGTCATTGCCTTGTTGAATTTTTGCTGGAAAAGGTCCATTGCACACTGCAGTGAAGTGCACTTAGGGCGGGGAAACATGGAGCACGAACCCCAGAGCTGAACACCATTGTTATGTCCATACAGCACTGTGGCTGAGATACAGGGCTTAATGGTTTGAGGGATGCAGAACTCATCTCCCTGCACTGCTTAGGGTATACAGCCTAATACCTCCATGTGTTGAATGGGTGCCCAACCCTGTGCTGTGCCTACCCAGGGTTCCCCATACTGCCCATCTCCCACTTTTCACCATTTTTCTCTTAAAGTTGGTGAAAGCCATTGCCTTGGTTGCTGTGTTGCCTGTTGTGCCTGGGCCAGCCTCTGCCTCTGGTGCCCCCATCCCAGTGGGCTCTCAGTGTCCCAGGGGCTCCAGCTGACCAGTGACAAACAGTGGCTCCACCACCAGTGTTAATCCCCTCTTAGAGTGCCGGACTCACGTGGGCAGCACAGTCACACAGCTCAGCGTGACAGCAGGTTTGTCACACGTTTCTTCAGTACGGCATCATGAGCACCACTCTCTGTATGCGGACTGAACAGCCAGCAGTAAGTGCAGGAACCCAGCAGCCTGGTTCCAAGCTCCCCATCACATACTGTAAATGCGTTTGCTACATGCTGCTGTGCATTTTTATTAGTTATCTTGTATCATGTCTCTCTCATATGGCTTTTAATTGAATTAATCCATATGACAAATGCTATTCATCTATTCAGTTCATGCTGAACCTTTCTCTGTTTTGCTTCAGCCAAGTGTCTTACATAAAGTTTTGTTAGTTCATTGATAAACTAGAGACATCCTGCTTGTTAATCAGGGGGATGATCAAACTCTCGCAATTTCAGGTACACAGCTACTGTAATTTCACCTCATATTTTTCAGGGCTCTAATTTAGCCTGCATACTACTTTTTCAAAGTGCCACCATTATTTGGGGTATATAAAATTTTGTGTGGTCCAGCATCCCTAAGAATCTTCATTAAATGTCTCAGAAAAAAAGAAGGAAGAAAAAAAAACCAACTAAAAACCCAACCAAACAAAAAGAAACCAAATAACCTACTTGTAAAACTTCAGTCTACTATTTCTTTTGTGGCTTCACAGCACAAAATAAGTAAACTGGACTAGCATATATTGTATTCCCTTCACAGCACTTTCCAACTTGATAGTCTTCATATGTTAAAGACATTTGTGGTGTAGAGCAATGGTTCTCCATGATCTTGTTCTCAACCACTAGCAGAGAAAAGCAGTCTCTCTGGGATCACTGCCTCCTCCAAAATCTGACTGGTTGGTTCTTGAAACACTTGAGTCTGGAGCCACCAGGGATCAGAGAACTCCACAGATTGTGGCTACCAACAGAACGTGTCTCAAGTTTAGATTATGCATCTACAATGATTATAGGATTGTATCGTTGAAGCTTCCCTCACATTCCGAATGGCTGCTGTTTTCCAGGTGTTTTAATTCTGGAGTTTTGCCAGTACCATCCTTGATTCTGAAGTAAAAGTAAAATATAACATCTGCCACATGGATTTCTATTTTGAGCACATTTTCCTTATTTTTATATACTTTTGTTGGGCTGTTGGAGCTAAAATACATATTCTTAGAGGACTACTAGAAGAAGAGAGAGATTTCACATACTAAGACCTCAAATGTGACTTTCTACATAGTTTGATATGCAGCAGTATCTGAGTATGTTGCAGATGATAGAGAAGTCCCAAGACTGACAATCTGATGCCAGCTCTCACAGAGTTTCCATTATCACATTTTATATATAGTTGAAGATTTGGGGAGCTATGCAGTGTTCCCCAAATAAATACATTTGTAAGATGCAGTACATCTGGTTAGAAGGCCTTTAACTCATTTTTCTTCTTAAAATTAATTCTGTAGTGGAGATTGCACTAGATTTAAGACTCCTATGTAATTTTAACAAGGTTTTTGGTATTGTGAAATCAGTTATGTTGTGCTATAAGAGTAAAAAGGATATACAACTTGAAATATCAGTGGGAGATGTTCACACCACCAACATATGGCATGTAACTGGGGGGCAGCTGTCTTTCTTCACTGACCATATTTACAGAGAGCTTGGATTCTCTGCTTTTAGTCCCCTGAATCACAGCAAAGCCTGATGGCTAGGAAGTCGAAAGTAAATGATGTGAATTTTCTCAGAACTCGTGGTATCCTTACAGTTCCGAGTAGCAAAAACATCTTCAAATGTTTATTTCTGAAATCAAAAAGCAGTGTAAAATTGCCAGTACAACTCAAACAAATAAATCACAGTCCTTCTGTCTTTACAGTTAGAACCCAGGCTCTCAACAATGGTTCCACTGTACTCTCTGAAGATGGGAAGAGATTATGAGATACGAGTCCGATCAAGACAACGTACCTCTGAAAAATTTGGGGAGTTCAGTGAAATCCTTTATGTATCTTTTTCTCAAACAGGCTTTGAATTTGTTCATTGTGATGAAGGTAAATAAGCAAAAAGTGCAACAAAGTGTTTTGATAACCATGCTTTTTGTCTTTTCATTGTTATTGGTTTTTTTTTTAATTACCGTTGATGATGTATGCTTGAATAGATTGATAATGCAGACTACTACATGAAAGTCATTTGGTGAGATTGAGAATGTGCAAGTTTCATATACAAGTTCAGAAGTAAACTCAGGCTGTTTCACAGTTCATCAGAGAGAAAAAATACAGATAGCTTTAAGAATCAAAAATAGTAATTGTGGTTGCACATCTTATAGAGCCTAAAATACAGTTAAATCTCATACTTCATCATCTAAAATGAGCTCTCTGGTAATGAAGAGAAGAGTTGTCACTTCTATTAAAGTGTTATACTGCTGGCTGAGTTCATTATCAGAATGATGTGTTTTTCTCATCTGCCTGATACTATCAAGGACAGTGAATGTTTTTCTGATTCTTGCTTCTGTCTTGTGCTTGTTTTTGAAGTGCTATTAAAGGCAGAAGAAGAAACAGGCATTGAGCACCACATTTTTTTATTAAACGAACGACACTATGCCTTTTTCTAAAGCATGCTCAGATCTGAGCTACCAAATTAACTCTTCAAAAAATGAGCTCTTCAGCAAGTTATTTTAACAAGCTGCTTCACTTCATTATCCAGTGTATTAGTGAAGGTGTTAAATAAAACCACCCATATTATTTTTCAAAATCTTGCTACATTCCCCTTTTTAACTCTTTGTATTACTAGTTGTTATTCATAATTTATATGAACAGCTAATGTTCTGGACATGTGGCATTATTTTATTAACCCCAGAGGCATTAAGTGGTCAAGGTTTTTATATGAACAAAATCAAAATACTATGAAAGTCTAAGGCCATCCTACAAACACAGTTTTCTTCAGTCACTACTACCCAAGTTCTACAAGTTGATCCATGTCCATACATCTCACACAGCAGCAGTGATCTGATTTGATTGAGAATTTACTCTTGCTTGGTTTGTGTATCACCTTTAGGAACATAGAATTAAAATTTAAATTTTCCATGTGTTAAAAATTTAAAGTAGTTAAATTCAAATGCAATATTCTAACTTCTTGAAGCAGCTGAACATTCGCAGGTCTCACTGACATGACAAGGAATTACTGGTTCTCCATTAAAATGGAGACCTGTCTAACACAGACATATCCAGATAGGACTTTACTCATGCCTGAAAACATGTCCAGTCAAAATCTAAGCTGGGAGCACAGACCTAAAACTGGTACCTGAATTTTATTTTTTTTCCCCCCGAAAGAATGTGTATTTATGTTTATGTATAGAATTCTGAAGCTTTCTGTCCAATATTCCTTGGCCCAAAAAATGAGTGACATTTGTATGGAAAACTTAAAATTGGGAACAAATGAGAAGAATCTAAGACTACAGCCAGAATAAATTTCTCTATACTTTTTGCACTACAGTGTCAGCTTAAATATAATGGAATTACCAGGATATAAAAGATAAAACATTTCATTTATCAGCATTGCTCTTCATTCCTACCAAATTGCATTTCTCAATGACCTAAATTCTTTGTAGCCACCTGCAAGGTAAATAAAAGGTAGATTTATTTTTTTTTCAGTTGATGTTTCACAACGTAATTAATGTTCAGCCTTTAGAAAGAGGAGTAGTATGCTTTTTGACACCACCATATTCTAGTTTCTGTGAGACAATAACAGTTTGCCTGTGATTTAGTATCTTATTAATAATGTTCTCCCAACAATGAACAACAGTAACATGGTCTGCAGCAGCATATGCCATCAGAACTACTGGTAGCATGTTCCAAGCAGGCAGAATGTTCCTCACGGCTGGTTTTGCTACATATATTGTCTGTACTAAGATCTTGTTTGTATTTAAAAACTCAGTCTGTTTTTTGCAGTGAGTCTCAGTGGGCTTATAAATGCAGCATGGGAACTACTGAGATCAAAAGAATATTTTTATTTGTACTTAACACAGAACTTTCACATTTAAGTAACCAAAAATTCTCCTGCCATTTTTTACCATTTTGGAATCCTCAGTTAGTAGGTAAGAAGGTTGAAATTAAAGATGCAACAGAGATGCAGATTCCTGCTAACATGTTTTTGTTCTGTTGTTTCAGAAATTGAGTTTCCGTGGTTCTTAGTTGTTATCTTCGGAGCGTGTGGGCTGGCTGTAACAGTGGTCTTAGTCCTGCTGGCTAAACAACCAAGGTAGAGGGGGGGTTTTGTCAGATTTTATGTACGTGTAGCTTAAAAAATAGGGTGCTTCAATTGTTTCAAATCTGAGGGACTAGAAACTATTTTGAGGATTGTTGTCCATTCTCATAAGCTACATGGATGCTGGTGTATGTACATACTGGGTCTTCAGCAGTGGGAATCTGATTATGTTGACAGCTCCTCTTCCTTCTGGATTGCAGAACATTTTATTCTACAGTATTTACATAGTTAATTTACTTTGGCTTTGAAGGGGTTTGGTTTTTTTAGTTCATTCAAATTTTGTAAATACTGTTCTTGCCCACATACTGTTCAAAAGTTTCACACAAACATATATCTATATATTTGGTTTTGTTCTTAAACTATTCCACTAATCTCTGGCTATTTCTTCATTGAGCCAAGGGAAAGAGCTCAATGTATGTGGTCTCTGTGGATAGACTGCAGTTCCTGTAAATGACAGGAATAAAATAAAACAGAGCACAGGATTGTGTCATTTATAAAAATTCTAAAATTGTGTCATTTATAAAAATGAAACAATGACACATAGATAAAATGACAAAATGGTCTCAAAGTTAATTCATCCCCTAATATGTGTGTTCAGAGTTATGTTTTGGCAGAATAATTCAGCTTGGATACAAGCACTGTTCTAGACTATGGAGCAACACCATGGTCATGCACCAGTGCACACATGCATGTTGTCAGTGGTCTTCTATATACACTTCAAAAATGAGCACTGAGGTGTTTTGCATATACCAGCATAAGGACAAGTCACTGAAATGAAAACAAGATGGTGCAGTTGGAGCAGGTCTAAAAAAATAATTTAGGAAAGCAGTGCTATGCTTTGGCAGAGCTTAATTTCAGGAAGCCACTCCCTGCAATAGCATCCCAGTCCTAGAGTTAAGAGCAAGGCTCTGATTACAATGCATGGCACAAGCTTGATGTGTCAGAATGGGGCAAGAACAAGTCACACTTGGGACCAGGAGCTCACTAAGGTCAGCACATTGAGCAAAGAGTGGCTTGGTCACAGAAGATCCTGAGGGCTGAAGCATGTCTTTGATCAGAGCTTGTTAATATCTTCCATGATAATCGTGATTGCTGGAGGAGGCTTTTCTCCACTGAAGACCCTTCACCTGGAAAGTTTTCTGGACCGGTGGGCCAGCACCCTATCATCCAAAATGGTGTACATGCTGGTGGGAGTCGCAGTGGCTTCTGCAGAAGAGCAGGCTGCACAGATTTCCTATAATGCAAAATATCCAGGCTCACTTTCTTCCTGTATCTGAAAAGCCACCAATTCATATTTTCCTCAATTCTGATCTCACAAGATCTGAACCAGGCTCCCTAGGACAGATGCCATAGGGTTAGGCTATACTCTTTTAGAGTTGAGAGATGTGGGCTTGAATTATGCAAGGCAAGAAAGGAGCAGAGCATAGTTCTCCTTCCTGAATGATTTCTCCAGGTGGCGAGTGGTAAAATCCTTTGTCTGTTTTGTTAGAAGCAGTGCCCAGTCCTGTCAGAATAGCTAATTTGTGGATTCAACTGTAAGTGCAAATCTTAAATGGCTACACCGAGAGCCCAGCCAGCGCACAGCTAACACCACCCCTCCAGGGATTAGGTGGAAAATTACTGAATTTCTGGCTCTCACTGAGGCTTACTGGGCAGAACTTGGAGGGTCTGCCAAAAAGAAAAACAGCTGGGGAATTTGGGCCTTCCATAGTGAAGCAGAAGGTGCCTAAATTTCTCTCTACTACTCCTTAAGGCTCCTCTGATCCCTTCTGGACCAAGGTTGCTAATAATGCAGCAAAACTAATATTTGGATTTGGATCTACCATTGCCACAGTTTACATTGTAAAATAGGCAAGTAACTCAGTATAAAGAGAATATTGAATTTTCCTTTTGGGAAATACACTTTATCTGTTTGCAAGTAGGGAGGTAAAATGGAGATAGGCATGATCCGCTTGTTGGATTATTATTAATAGAAAGTTATCCTTCTGTTTGGGGTTTTTTGTTTTGGGGTTAGTTTTTTTTTTGGTCCCCTCAAACAATTAGAAATTCAGTTTATGAAGGATTAGAATAATATGTGTGTCCACAGTATGTGCATGCATAAGCAAGTTACTAGTCCTTTCTCTACAAGGGTAAAACCTTGTCGTTATTATATGTTACTTGTTACGTTAATAATTCAGAAAAAAGAAGTGTCATAGAGATGGTAGAATACTAGCTTAGATTTTTTCAGTTGTATTTCTGTTTTATTTATTTGTTCTAAAGTAACTCACTCTTTTCACCAACTCCCTTTTTCTGTTACCCTTTGTAAATTTATTGGGCTTATGCAAGACTACTTTGTCTACTGAAAAAAAAAAAATTTGGGAAAGTCACTCTGCACACTGAGAACCTCTGTCAGGTTCCTTTGAAAATTATGTAAAAGGGAAACTATTGACAGAGCTCTAGGAATTTACTTTCTTTCTGCAGAGCATTAACTTGGTAATTGGTAATTAATCCAAAATGGATTCCCCTATAAATGTATGTGATTTCAACAAGAAAGGCTGCAGAAAACTTGTTTTTTTATTTGCAGTGAGAGAAAACAATTGTTCTTTTCCTTAGGACTATTTGAAATTGAATTTTCAAACATTTCCTTTTTGAAGTAATTAAGTATAAATGCAATTTAAGATTCTCTTCTAACTTCCTCAGAAAGAACCACTGTCAATTAAAAGCCATCATTTATTTTTTCCAGGTTAAAAATGCTGATTTTTCCTCCTGTGCCAGTTCCAAAGATTAAAGGGATTGACACAGATCTCTTGAAGGTAATATTGTGCTCTAAAATCTACATTGGGAATTGTTGTAGTAGTAACAGGTGACTATTGTTGTTCCAGGCAGAGAAATTTTGTAGGGAAGAAATTATGACATGGGGGGAGTTACCATAGAATTAGTTTTCATGAAGTAATAAAAAAACCCTTGCAATTACTATATCAGCTACAGTTACGTTTACTTAAAATAACATCATAAAAAGGACAAGCATTTTTATTATTTCCTTTATAACTTTCATTATTTCTTGCTGTATAGAAAGGAAAGCTAGATGAAGTGAACTCCATCTTAGCCAGCCATGAGAACTACAAGACACAGCTATACAGTGATGATTTGTGGGTTGAGTTTATCGAGTTGGACATAGAAGACCCTGATGAAAAGAACAGAGCCTCAGATACTGACAGGCTTCTGAGTGAAGATCACCTGAAATCACACAATTGCTTGGGAGCGAAGGATGATGATTCTGGACGGGCCAGTTGTTGTGAACCAGATATTCCAGAGACAGACTTCACTGCAAGTGACACATGTGACGCCATCTCTGATACTGAGCAATTCAAAAAGGCGACTGAAAAAGAGGAGGACCTCTTATGTCTTGATAGAAAAGATAACAATGAGTCACTTCCAAGCTTTGCCAACACAGACACCCAACAGCCACATACAAGTTATCAGTCTGAAAATAGCCAGCTGTGGCCACCTTTTGCAGACAGCATTGACTCAGCTAGACCATCAGTCCATACCCAGCTAAGCAACCAGAATTCTCTGACAAATACTGACTTTTACACGCAAGTGAGTGATATTACTCCAGCAGGCAGTGTTGTACTTTCACCAGGGCAGAAAACCAAGATGGGGACAGCACAGTGTGAAGGCTGCACAGAACAAAACTTCACCATGGACAACGCCTACTTCTGTGAGGCAGATGTGAAAAACTGTATTGCTGTGACTTCCCATGAAGAGGATGAGCCGCATGTCCAGGAGCAAAGCTGGAACGAGGATGCTTACTTCACCACAGAGAGCTTTACCACTACCGCTGTCAACCTTGGATCTTCAACAGCAGAAACCCCAAGTTCGGAGATGCCTGTCCCAGACTATACATCTATCCATATCGTTCACTCTCCACAAGGCCTTGTGCTTAACGCAACTGCACTGCCTGCACCAGACAAGGAATTCAACATGTCTTGTGGCTATGTGAGCACAGACCAGCTGAACAAAATGATGCCGTAGCTCTTCTTTGACTAGGTGTGTGCAGTATTTCACAGCAGACAGTCAGCTCAGGCTTATACGCTGAAACCAAAATGAAGTCTAAAAGTTTCTCATGGTTCTTATAATTCTATCTGAAATGTTGCAACATGAAATAGTCATCAAAATATTCCTATTGTGTTCTGTAAATATTATCTATGATTTTGTCTTGAGACTGTTTTACTAAATGTGACTGTCTTGTTCATGTGGGTGTTGATTTTTGTGATACTAAACATTGAAATGACTATGTTTAATGTACAGTAAATCGTGCATTTTGATAAAGCTAAAAATCAGGTGGTTTAAAGTACAAGAATTTATTAAAAAATGTACTGTTGGCAGAGATCTTTATATCAAAAATTAGGAACTAAACATATAGGTGAAAAAACAAAAGTAGCTTGAATAAATACATCTATTTTGATTTATACAAATAAATAAAATATATTTTAATATTTTAGCCATAAAAACATACACATTTTCTATTACACTACACACTGTAGTTCAATTATGATGACCCATCTAAGGAATGTAATTGCTGCAATCTTAAAGAGGAGTTTTCTGTTTTATAAAAGTTTTGTTTGCAGCAAAAAGGAAAAATAGATTTTTACAGAGCCATTTTATACCTCCGGAGAAACCTGTAGAGAAGCTTTGAAATACTGTAGGAACTTAAAGTAACTGATACTACTACTTTCTTATGGTAATTAGTATAGAAATATGCATTCAATTTAAAGTTTTGTAGACAACTTTAAAATATACAAAATATTTGGCCAAATTATTATCTTCTTCATTGGATTCTGGTTAATACTAATAATATACTTTTTTATAAGCAAAATTTTGTTGACCGCAGTATTAAACAGTGTGCAACTATACTTTCACTGAAAATTTTTGAGAACACATGAATAAGCTCTGGTGACTTAGCAGCATAATCTCTTCACATTTGACCAACTTCTAGAGCCCTCCTACAGCCAAAGATATCACTACATTTATTAGTTTGTGCCACATAAAGTCTTGATTAAAAAAATAAGGACTTCAGGAATTAGCCAGCAGTTAATTTTTAAAGATATAGCAGGATTAAAAGACTTCAGTGGAACAAGAGAATTGAATATAGTGTTGTTCAAAAGTGTTTCTTATTTTTGCAGCCTAACAGCTTCTCCTCTGGCCATGTTAGGCAGACTTTCAGAGAAGAGAAAACTGAAATTCAGC